GGAGACGACAGGCATCGGCTGCTGTTGGCGATCACGTTCGTAACTGAGGAACTTCACGAACATCATCTGAGTCAACATCTGCAAGATGTATAAACTCAGGTACGCCAGTCGAGGTGACAGGTTCGGCAATGTCTGTTGCGGCAGCTTCGGATGCTTCAGAAAGTGCTTCGTCCTGTACATCAGCCTCGGCTTCATCAGTTGCAAACGCACGCGATCCTTCGAACAGCCTGGCGGGGTTGGCAGTTGCTGCCTGATGGGCACGAAAAACGGGCAAGGTGAGTCTTTCATAGAAAAGACAATCACGTGATGGGGTGATTTGGTTGGATCGAAGATCCAAAATCTACCGTGCGTGATACTGTATTTCGATGCCGAGATGTACGCCCCATTTTGCTCTTTCTGAAAATTTGCCAAGGTCTGCAGTTGGAGGACGAAACTGCACGGCACACCCGAAAACTCGTAAAATTTTGGTACTTCCCACTGTACGTGTCCACTGCAGGTGCGGAGAAGAAAACTCGGGCAGGGACGTTGAAGAAAGAAGATTGTGTAACAGCACGGTGTGGTCCATTGCATACGGCCAAAAACGCGGTGGGAGGGCTGCTTGCGTCAGCAGAGCACGCATCTTCTCCCGCAGAGTTCTGTTCATCCTTTCTGCTACCCCCATCTGTTGGTGTGCATGCGGCAGTGACTGCTTCCGTTTGATGCCGAGTGTCTGAAGGTATTCTGTGAAAGTGTTGCTGGTGTACTCCCCTGCACCATTGCTCTGGAATTCTTGAAGTTTTACGCCAGACTCTCGTTCAGCGACAGCGAACCACGCGACAAAGACAGAGTGCGCGGGATAACGAGCGGGAAGGTTTGCTGTCCAGACATAGCGTGTAGATGCTTCGATGAACGTTATCACGTACTGCTCGTCTTTAGGTCCTCCTTCAGGTAAGTTTAGTATGTCGCTGTAAACTTTCTGCATCAGTTTATAACGAGTTGAACCAGGAAAGTGACTCGGAAACGGATCGTGGGTAAGGTTGGCAACCGGACACGTGGTGCAAACCGTTGGACGAGACTGCAGCTTCATTTCCGTGCCATCAGGTAAAAGCAGACTGCTTTTATCAAGAACTGTTGCGCGGATTGAGTGATTTATAATCCCTTGCGACGGATGTCCTAACCGCTGATGCCAGATATCTTCTGTTGCTTTGTGTCCTGATGATCGCAGGTAGAAATCGGAGTTAGTATAAAACGAAGAAATTATAAAAGGAGAAAGTGCTGGTGACATGTCAACCTCTCCTTCGACGAAACGGGTAAGCGGTAACGTGACATTTAATGGTGTTGCTGCCGTTGTAACGAAAACTTCTGATGCTGCTTCTGTTGATGTGGTGGTAGGAGGTTCTGCGACAACGACTGGTGGACTCAGCTGCTCAGCTACTTCTTCCTGTTTGGCTGCTTCAACGACGTGAGGTTCATCAGCTGCTAGTCCACTAATTTCCCCCCAAAGTGGAGCTGGAGTTCCTTGAAGGGCCTCGCAAGTAGTATAAAAGGTTCGCCAAGCGTTGGCGCCTTCCTCGGCTATATTGAACTCCCAAGTATCCAGTGCGGTAAGTACGGCGGCTGTAGTTCGAGAAGATGTTGGCACAGTAGTTGCTCGAAAATCAATATCCACTTGCTGATAATCTGTTTCTTCTGGATGATCCCAGGGACCAAGTGCAAGAACGCGTTCAGAGTCACCAGAAGTTCCTTGTGGCATAAACTGAAGAACGGAAACACCATGTTGAGTAGCGGCACAGCCAAGGTAAGTATTTGTTGGGCTGTGCCATAGCTCCTGATCCATCGTTTCACAATTGTCCTGTGTGCGGATTTTGTGTGCCAGGAGTTGAGCCGTGGAAAGAAGATTGAAGCCAAGACCGGCGACAATTAGAACATTGGTAACATGAAGTGAGTAACCCGTGTCGATTGATTCGAGCATTACGCTCCCAACAGAACGTGCCATAATCGTTTGTCCGTTTGCAACTGTGACAGGTATTGGACGACGAAGCGGTCGCTGGTTGGTGATGAAGCTTGTTTCGGAGGAACACCTGTGCCAACCACAACAGCTGTCAAGATACCAAGTATTGGGACCTGAAATAACTCGAGCAAGGTTAGCGTAAACTTGCGGTAAGGGAATGCCTTCAACACTTGTAGTTTCTTCAAGATGTGCCTCGAAATATTTTTCTGAAACATCGACTGTTGTAACACATCCAAAAACCCCTTTTCCTGATGTGGCAGATGCGAAGACCGGCGGGCGATGCGGCGACGTCGATGGATTCTGCGGCGGTTTTGGCATCTGCTGCTGCTGAGACGTTAACTGTTGCGGTGGCTGTTGTGTCTTCGGTAACTGCTGCGATCGGTGATATGGCTGAGAAGTGCTGCGGCAATTTTGATGACGGCTGCGACAGTTTTGGTAAGTATGTCCTGGTTTCTTACAAAAATAGCAGAATGGATATATTGGAGGATGTCGTTGCTGTGGTTCTGAATTGGAGTAAAAACTTAAATGAACTCCTTTCTTCTGATTGCGTTGTGACTACAGGTCAAGATCTTGCTGCTCTGCTTGAAGATATGAAGAGATTTCGGCTTCGGAAAGATTCGGGTTCATTCGCAGGAAGGCGCGCGTCTGTCACCATTCGGGTCCAAGACCGGCAAGAAGGACCGTGAGATACATCTCACGAGGGAAGTATCCTCCACTTTTCTCCAGTTGATCTCGTAGTGTACGGACGCGATTAACGTAGTCCATGACGTTTCCGTTTGTCATCATGTGCACACTTGTCAGCTGCGAAAGTATTTTACTCACTGTTATTGTATCCTTTGCCATGTACACCCCCTTCAAATGGTTCCAAGCAGTTTCGGCTGGTGTAAAGCTTGAGTGAAATGATCGGACGCCGAGCTGCTCCTTCGGTGACAGGTTTCGAACAAGAACTATATACGCCCCAAGAGAGGCGTGCAAGAAACTCTGCTGCTCTAGTTGTGTTCCCACGACAGGATACGTGAACTCGCCAATGAAGAACGGCCATAGCCCAGCGGACTGCGCCAGAAGCTTAAACTCAAAGCTCCAGGAGTAGAAGTCGACTCCGTTAAAAAGTATAGTGGTTTTAATCTGTGTGCTGTTAAGTAAATTTGGAGGCTGAAAAACAATACCCGGCTATTGCTGTTGTTGCTGTTGCTGTTGGAATTGCGGTGGCTGCTGATGATGCTGTTGTTGTTGCTGTTGTTGCTGAGCAGGGGAACGACCGAAGATGTAGAAAGGATGCTGAAACTACTGCGACTGCGGCTGCTATACAAAAGGTGAGAAAGTGAACGAACCAGTACTTGGAGTTGTGGCTCCACGCATGTAACTCGAGCCGTCAAGGCTCATTCCACTGAACGCTGAAGAAATTGATTGCGTTGAAACTGGCGGCTCTAATGACGCTTGTTGCTGTGCTGTTGTCTGTGTTTGGTGTTGTGCTGCAGGGGCAGTTAATGACATCCTTGGAATATTGGCAGAAGACGGATTTTGCTGTTGCTGCTACATACCAATATGCGCATAAGCCGGTGGAAATGGTCCAGAGGCTGAGAGACCAGTGGCGGTCGTGGAGACATGTACACCAGTAGTTCCAGAAGTTGATCCGGCAGACGGTGCTGGTGATGAACCAGTTATTGTTGACAGTAGTCGTAATTCCAGATAGCTCTCATACCATGAAACAACTTGTCCAATGTTGTAAAAGACTAAGTATAAAACTGCAAACACGAACACTTGGAAATCCTCAAGTGTTAGCCCAGGATCTTTACTGGCATGGTAGACTAGTAAGACAGCGGAAGTCTTGTAAAAGGTAACAGTCAGAGGTTGAATAACCTGAGTACGTGAACTTGTGAATAATCAAAGTTAGTAATGAAAAGACCTAACAAGGATTTATAGTTCTAGGAAAAGTACCTATTCGCTAATGTACCTGTTCGTCACTATCGCGCTATGCGCCCTAGATGTTAATGAAGAGATGCGACTGTTCGCGTGACTGAAACGACTGTCCTATGACGGACATCATCCTACGGACTTATCTTCTACAGTAAGATTCGACACTAACTACACTTAATCGACTTACAGATATGCTAAGTACCAATTATATCACAACAGATAGAACTTTAGGATAATCCAAACCATGGTTACCGTGCAACTCACGCCCGAAGTAATGCCACAAGACTTGGCCCCAGCGCAGAACGCGCCCGAACTGGGGTTAAAAAGCTTTCCCCCCTACGCTGGACGTTATTGACAGATTTGCGCGTGGGGGGAAAAGGGGGAAACTGGGGGAAAACCGAGGGGGGGCAAATCGAAAGCGCAAGGCAATGAACCAGAGGCTTTGTCCCAAATGTCCTGCAGTTCCAAGCATGTAGGACAATGTGGCAGGGCAGCAAAGGGAAACGCAAAAGATGCTGGAGGCCGAAAATTGAAACATCATGCTATCTTGGCAGCCCAAACCCAACCACATACTGCACGGGAATAAATGTATGCGCTTTAGGACAAACAACGAGTGGGGTTTCCATGACAACATATTCCATGCGTCTGAGTGTATTCATATAGCCTTCTCGTGCCCCAATCGGATTGGTTTTCAATTCTTGCAGCAAGGGATCCATTGCGAGAATTCAAAACCAATCCCTCCATTGACTGGAGGAACCTTTCCTCCTAGGGGGAGCTCGGTTCCCTTCCCCCACATGTGCACGCCCTCCCTCATGCGCGCACGCCCTCCCCCACGAGTGCACGCGCTCCCCCACGCGCGCACGCCCTCCCCCACGTGCGCACGCCCTCCCCCACGCGCGCACGCCCTCCCCCACACGCGCATGTTGGTGCAACCCTATGGCTTGCACTCGGCTTGTCGTCCTTGCTTGTGTGTGTGCATGCATGGCATGGAATGAATTGTGAGCCTATGTCATTGCCATCCAGTGCTTGTGTGTGTGTTTGAATGGTGTATCACAATGTGGTTTGTGTCGGTCAAGACATTAGCGAGTTTTGACAACTCGCATGTCAAGTCGTCGTTTGTGTGTCGCATGTGTTTTTTTCTATTTTGTCGAGTGTGAAGTGTCCATCGTGTCGCAGGTGTGTGCAGCAAGCCCCCGTCAACTCAAGAAGAATTTATCTTGCAGATCCAAGAACAAGAGCTCAAGATTTCAAGCCCAAGGAACGCGGATAAATATTAAATAGTGAAAATAGTAACGTTACTTCGTGTAGTGTTACATTTCACTTGGTGTAGCCCCTTGGAGGGTTGGTTTCGAGACTCTTCATGGTTGGGGACTCTGTGGTGGTGTACCACCAACCTGGACCTCGGCTCTTGGGGTATGTAGAGGCTGGGAGCCATCTCCCTCTCGAACTCTTCTTGCTAAGTTTGTACTCCTAAGACTATAGTGGCTACTGTACCTCCTGCCAGTCAAACCGCCATAGCGTCGTCAAATCTTCATGGAATTTTATGATTCAACTTCCTGCTGATAGGCGACAACAACGCGCTCCAGATCCAACTTACAGATGACCGTTTCCTTCAGCCACCAGATCGTTATCAATATTTGAAGCCGTCTGACGGAAATCCGGTTGTGCTCTCTATCTCTCATTATAGGCACATCTAAGCCTATTGTGATTATAACAAGTGGTATCAGAGCCCCTTGGAGCCGTCTCGACCATGCCTAGACCTGAGGAAGGGGGTGGCAGAGGTGCTGGAGGCAGAGAAGACGCCCAAGCACAAGGTCAACACCAAGATCCACCCGTTGCTCCGGTGCAACCTAGCCTTGGACCCTCTAGGGATGAGCCTAGAGTGTTTGGCCTTGACAAGTTCAACGGTGACAACTTTGCTGAGTGGTCCTTCAAGATGGAGAACATCTTTGATCACTATGATCTGCTGGAGGTGATGGAAGGAACGGAGAAGCGCCCCGAGAACGACCCGGAGAAGAGCCCGTGGGTGCGGAAGAGCGCACAAGGCTACCTTCTACTTGGGCAAGCGTTGGGGAGCAGCCAAATCCGTCACATCAAGCCTTTTCAGCGTGAACCAGCAAAGGGACCAAAGGCATGGGCTGCTCTCAAGGGTGTACACGCTCCTGCAACAGCGGCGGTGGCTGTGGTTTTGGAGCGGCAAATGGCGGCACTTCGAATTGACGAAGGCGAACCGGTGGAGGAAGGAGTGCAGAAATTCTTCGACTTGTTGACACGGCTCGAAGGAGCTGACCTGAACTACAGTGACCTTCAAAAGAAGACCAAGCTGCTGGCCTTACTTCCGGACTCATGGTCCTCGCTCATCATCAACCTTAATCGAGATCTGCCCCGTCTCTCACTCGAAGATGTGAAGTGGGAAATCTTACAAGAAGATTTCCGCCGTCGCGAATTGGCGGGTCCCGATGGTGCCGGAGTTGCAAGCATGGGCCGTGGGCACGGCCGTGGAAGGGGCAGAGGGCGAGGAGGAAGATTTGGCAGCAGCTACTTCAATGGAGGCCGTGGTAATGGAGGATATGGCACCAACAACAACAACAATGGCTACGGGCGTGGGCGCGGTCGATTTGATGGCGAATGCCACTTTTGCCACAAGACCGGCCACATGTGGAGAGATTGCTTCAAACTACCTGATGGCTGGACCCCTTCTCAAGGCCAAGAGGGCAGAGGAGCAAGGGGAGGAAGAGGCAGAGGTCGTGGAGGCCGTGGTGGTCATGGAAGCGAAGCGGCAAGCATGAAAGGTGGAGACTACGACAAGGACTCGAGTGAAGATCGATACCCGGGCCAATTCTTCTTGGTCTCCACGCAAGCGGCAGCTGCAGCAGGAGGTGTGGAAGGCTTTGAGGAGCCAGCTACTGTGGGAAAGGTCACCCTTCACTCTCTGGACTTTTGGGTCATCGTTAGCGGCGCCACCTACAGCATGACACCTCGTGCGGACTTGCTCACCGAACTCGAACCGTCGCCGGTCAAGCATGTTACATCGGCTTTGGGGCAGCGAGCAGAGGTGAAGGGCATGGGCAAGGCCATGTTCAAGGGTGCTGATGGGAAGATGGTGGGCCTCAAGAACGTGCTTTTGGTGCCCAACTTAGCAGCCAACCTGATTTCCGTTCGGCGTTTGCAAAATGCCGGCATGGACACATCTTCCAAGGGATCCAAAACCTATACCGCAAGGCTTGGTGAGCGGAAGCTTTGGGACCTTCATGAGGACAGGGACATCTACAATGAGATGTGGCAAATCCCAGTGGTCCCCATGCCTAAAGAGAGGCAAGTGGCAGCAAGCGTCAGCACCAAGCGTGAAGCAGTTGGTGGCGGTGATCACGGAAAGCAAAGTGACACCAAGAGTGACTCGAAGGAGTGCAACCTTGGAGAGACCAGCAAGGCGTGTGAACCCAAGGAGAATGGTGCAGCAGCCAAAGGTGGTGGAAATGAGGAGGAGAAGGCTAAGATCAACAAAGCAGCAGCGGCGAAGGAGAAAGGAGAGAGCTTGTGGGGCACAATTGCGAGTGCTGCTTTCTCCAACCCGACTTCCGCTACGGGAGAGTGTGATTGGCTGACCTTGCATCGGCGAATGGGGCACGTGGCATTGCCCATTTTGCAGCAGATTGTTAAGCAAGAGATGTTCAGTGGAATCCGTGTCAAGGGGGAGCCCAATAAGGTGCTTGGCTGTCCAACATGCATGCAAGCCAAGTTCACCCGCTACCCGTTCCATAGCTCGGAGACAACGGCGAAGGCACCACTTGATGAGGTGGTGATGGATGTGGTGGGCCCCTTGAAGCTTGGAGCTGCTGGAGCAGAGTACTTCCTCACCATTGTGGACGTCTACACTCGCATGACTTGGGTGTATGTGCTGCCCAAGAAGAGTGACGTAGCTGAAACGGTGAAGACCGATTGGTTGCCGATGGTGGAGCGGCAACAAGACCGACTTGTGAAGGCGATTCGCACTGACCGTGGGGGAGAGTTCCTGAGCAAGGATTTCTCAACTTGGCTAAAGAATCAGGGCATAAGGCACTCTCTTACCATGCCCTACTCTCCTGCAATGAACGGCATCGCCGAGCGTGCGAATCGGACACTCACGGAGACGGCACGGGGACTTCTCATTGAAGCCGGTCTACCCAATTACTTTTGGCCGGATGCGGTGCGGCATGCTTGTGTGGCCAAGAACAGAGCCTTGACTCATGTGGGAGAAGACAAATGGGTGCCCTATGTGGAGTGGATTGGAAGGAAGCCGAAGGTGGATATGCTTCGGGTGTTCGGGTGCATGTGCATGGCACTTGTGCCTAAGAAACTTCGGCACAACAAGCTTGATGCCAAGGCAACATGGGCCGTGCACCTGGGCATGGCCCAAAACAGCAAGGGATGGCTTCTATGGGACCCATTTACCAAGAAGTTCCTGGTGAGCAGAGATTGCAAGTTCATGGAGAACTTACCGTACAAGGAGTGGAAGGCGGAGAACCAAGCGAAGATTGGTGTGCGGCTTGGAGAGGTGAAGAGTACCGGCTTGGAGCATGTGGAGCTGCCCTTGGAGCTGAGTAGCAGCAGCACTATCACAAGGCAATCTCCTCAAATGAATGGGGAAGAAGAGGAGGAGGAGGTGCAGCAAGGTGATGAGCGTGCACCGTCACTTCCGCCTCGTGCTACAAGTGCTCGCGCGAACGGACCAGATTTGCAGCAACGCCATGAGAGCATCCAAGTCCCTGCAGCAGAGGAAGAGGGAAGGGGGAGAAGGAAGACTCAGCCCCCCAATAGGTTGAGCTATGAACGGCTTGGAGGACCAGCCAACTCAACCTTGACCGGTTCGGCCCTCATGCTAGGCGATGATGCGGAAGATGAAAGCGAGGAGTGCGCTTTTGCCTTCTTCTCTCCGGTGGAGATACCGGGGGAGCCTACAAATCCCAGGGAGGCTTGGGAGGGCCCCAATGGGAAGGAGTGGAAGAAGGCCTCAGATGAAGAAATGGGGAGCATCATCGAGAACGACACGTTTGACTTGGTGAACCTACCTCCGGGGCGTAAGGCGATTTCTTCCAAGTGGCTCTTCAAGCGCAAGACCGACGCCGACAGCAACATTGAGCGCTACAAGAGCAGACTTGTAGCCAAGGGGTATCAGCAGAAAGAGAAGAAGGACTACAATGAAGTGTATGCCCCTGTGGTGAAGGGTACAACCCTTCGAACCCTCTTCGCCTCGGCGGCCATCAAAGGATGGGTGGTGAAGCAAATGGACATTGTAACGGCCTTCCTCAACGGCGTTTTGGAGGAAGAGACCTACATGGAGCAGCCAGAGGGGTACAATGATGGGAGTGGCAGAGTGTGGAAGCTGAAGAAAGCACTCTATGGCCTCAAGCAAGCCCCTAGGCAATGGTACATCAAGCTGCGGGAAGTCTTGGAGGCGATCGGCTTCACTCCCTCAACGGCCGATCAATCCTTGTTCATGCTTGGCGAGGGGGAGCAGAGGAGCTTCATGGTGGTTTATGTGGATGACATCCTCATATTCTCACCCTCCTCTGACCTTGTGAAGGAGGTGATGCTGAAGCTTCAAGACAAGTTCAAGTGCAAGACCCTTGGTGACGTCAACTACTACCTTGGGCTTCACATTGAGCGAGATGTGGAGAAGCGGTGGATGCGAGTGCATCAAAAGAAGTACTTGGAGGCCTTGGCTTCAAACTTTGGGAAGAGTGAAGGTCATATGGCTACTCCTCTTCCCTCAGGGTTCAAGTGTGTGAAAGGACCAGCGGAGGAAAGTGTTGGTGAAGAGGAGAGGCGGCGTTTTCACTCCTTGGTGGGCAGCCTCATGTATGCGGCCGTTCACACAAGGCCGGATGCAGCCTTTGCTACCGGGCAGCTGGCTAGGGTTGTCCAATGCCCTAATGAGGAGCAGGTAGCAGCTGGAGAGAGGGTGGCCAAGTACCTTGGCCAAACAGCAACTGTTGGACTGCAATACTCCGCGGCGGCACAAAGGCGTCGAAAGGGTGCGGATGGAGTCGAACCCGGGAGGCTCTTTCTCACCGCCTTCTCTGATGCATCTTGGGCATCAGAACCAGAGGACATGACAAGTGTGAGAGGCTTCATCTGCTGTGTTGGTGGAGGACCAACAGCTTGGGAGAGCAAGAAACAAGTGGACCAAGCATTGAGCTCGGTGGAGTCCGAGTACATGGCACTCTTCCGTGCCATAAGAGAGGTTGTGTGGCAGCGGCGTTTGCTAGCTGAATTGGGGGAGGAGCAGCAAGGACCTACCCCACTCTAATGTGATAGCCAAGGTGCTATTGCATTGGCAAAGAGCCCCGTTCTTCATGGTCTTACCAAGCACATGAAGGTGAAGTGGCATTGGGTGAGGAGCATGGTAACCGCGGGTGAAGTGGAGTTGCACTACGTGAAGACGACGGCGCAGCCTGCTGATATGATGACCAAGAGGCTGGTTGAGCAGCAGCATTGGAAGTGTTGCAAGCTTGCAGGGATGGCTCTGAACTAAGGGGAGCAGATTCTAAGGCCAACAATCCGAGGGGAAGTTTGTTGGTGCAACCCTATGGCTTGCACTCGGCTTGTCGTTCTTGCTTGTGTGTGTGCATGCATGGCATGGAATGAATTGTGAGCCTATGTCATTGCTATCCAGTGCTTGTGTGTGTGTTTGAATGGTGTATCACAATGTGGTTTGTGTCGGTCAAGACATTAGCGAGTTTTGACAACTCGCATGTCAAGTCGTCGTTTGTGTGTCGCATGTGCTTTTTCTATTTTGTCGAGTGTGAAGTGTCCATCGTGTCGCAGGTGTGTGCAGCAAGCCCCCATCAACTCAAGAAGAATTTATCTTGCAGATCCAAGAACAAGAGCTCAAGATTTCAAGCCCAAGGGACGCGGATAAATATTAAATAGTGAAAATAGTAACGTTACTTCGTGTAGTGTTACATTTCACTTGGTGTAGCCCCTTGGAGGGTTGGTTTCGAGACTCTTCATGGTTGGGGACTCTGTGGTGGTGTACCACCAACCTGGACCTCGGCTCTTGGGGTATGTAGAGGCTGGGAGCCATCTCCCTCTCGAACTCTTCTTGCTAAGTTTGTACTCCTAAGACTATAGTGGCTACTGTACCTCCTGCCAGTCAAACCGCCATAGCGTCGTCAAATCTTCATGAAATTTTATGATTCAACTTGCTGCTGATAGGCGACAACAACGCGCTCCAGATCCAACTTACAAATCACCGTTTCATTCAGCGACCAGATCGTTATCAATATTTGAAGCCGTCTGACGGAAATCCGGTTGTGCTCTCTAGCTCTCATTATAGGCACATCTAAGCCTATTGTGATTATAACAGCGCACGCCCTCCCCTCACGCGTGCCCGCCCTCCCCCCACGCGCGCCCGCCCTCGGCCCACGCACGCCCGCCCTCCCCCCACGTGCGCACACCCTCCCCCACGCGCGCACGCCCTCCCCCCCGCCCGCACGCCCTCCCCCACGCGCGCACGCCCTCTCCCCCGTGCGCACGCCCTCCCCCCTGCGCGCACGCCCTTCCCCCACACGCGCACCCCCTTCCCCCACACGCGCACGCCCTTCCCCTACATGCGCACGGTCCCCCCCACATGCGCACGCCACCCTTCCCAACATGCACACGCCCTTCCCCACACCCTTCCCCACATGCGCACACCCTTCCCTAGATGCACACGCCCTTCCCCACAGGCGCACACCCTTCCCCACATGCGCACGCCCTTCCCCACAGGCGCACGCCCTTCCCCACAAGCGCACGCCCTTCCCTTGCATGCGCAGACCCTTCCCCCACGTGCGCACACCCTCCCCCACGTGTGCACGCCCTTCCCCAACTGCGCACGCCCTTCCCCAACTGCGCACGCCCCTCCCAACCTGCGCACGCCCTTCCGCAAATGCGCACGCCCTTCCCCACATGCGCACGCCCTTCCTCCACATGTGCACGCCCTTCCCCCCATGCACACGCCCTTCCCCACATGTGCACGCCCTTCCCCCCATGCGCACGCCCTTCCACCCATGCGCACGCCCCTCCCCACATGCGCACGCCCTTTTCCCGCATGCGTACATCCTCCGCACATGCGCCCGCCCTTCCCCACACACACCCGCCCTTCCCCACAGCCACACACCCTTCCCCCACATGCGCACGCCTTTCCCCTACACGCGCACACCTTCCCCACACGCACACGCCCTTACCCCACACACGCACGATGCGCACGCCCTCCCCTCACACGCGCACGCCCTTCCCTCACACGCACACGCGTTTCCCTCACACGTGCATGCTCTTTCCCCATACGCGCATGCCCTTTCCCACATGCACACACCCTTCCCCCACATGCACACGCCCTTCCCCACATGCGCACACCCATCCCCAACATGCGCATGCCCTTCCCCCCATGCGCATACCCTTCCCCCACATGCGCACTCCATTCCCCTGCCACTTTCCTTGGCAGGCTGCCATGCGGCGGCGCCTGTTGTCTGCGCTCAAGGGGGCGGCCATTGCTGTGAGCACAGGCCGGGCCAAACTGAGTACATGCTCTGCTCATCACTCCCTTCACGCCCCACCTTCTCCCTTTCTTCCCCCCCGCATGCGCACTCTTCACATCTCTGCAGGCTGCCATGCAGCAGCACCTGCTGTGCGGGTTGAGGGAGATGGGCAAGGCCGTGTGGACACGCAGGGCCAAGTGCGTCGTGCTGGCGCCCAACGTGGAGGAGGTGCTGGGGGAAGGTGAGAAGGGGGTATGGAAGGCGAGGAGTGGTAGGGCGAGGAGTGGGAGGGCGAGGGACTGAGTGAAAAAGTGAAGAGTGGGGCTTTATTGGCCAGAGCCAAGTGAGCAGTGGCTCTTAGAGGGTGTCTGAAATAGCACAGATGGGACGTCACAGATGTTGAAAGAGGGTTACCACCACTGCACACGCTACAGTTCCGATTTCCGGGATGGCTGAAGTAGGGCTCCCGAAACCCAATTGTCGAACTTAACGTCCTATTGTGTTGTTTCAACAACTTAGTGGGCAACCCAGATATTATGCCACAAAACCAATTGGACACCCACCGAACCAACAAAAACGAATTCGCGAATCTTCTGCCGATCATTGGGAGGGGATAGGTTTGCGAGTGAATTTGCTGGCGAGTTTTTGCTGACGCCGTATAAGACTATCGCGCACAACACTGTACTTCAATGTTGGGATGGAATTTGGTAGGAGCATTCAAAAGTCCTGAGGATGCAAGCAAGAAAGTGTGATGAGATCTAACAGGGTCGCATGGAACAAGAATGTCGTAGGTGATTGTGAGAACACTTACCACAGTCGACCAATCGACGTGTTAGTTGGGTTGGATTTGCCTACGCATTGTGGACGCACACCGTCGACGTGTCCTTTTCACAGTGTTATGGACAATTTACCAAGGCCAGGTTGAGCTGATCTCGTTGCGTTGTAAGAGTTACTTCTCATCACCTTTCACTTGCATGTTTCGATCCTGCTCGCAAGGCCCCATGGAAATTTTCTTTTGTTTTGTTATATTTTTGTTTTGTTTTGTTTTAGCTTTCCTCTTTCCAATTCTAACCAAGACCCTGCTTGCGTGTATACAATAATGTCAAGTTATAGCAACCCCATTACACAATAAGGGAGTGCCGGGGGACCCATACGATGACATGAGGCGACGACGCAGCACGACATGTCGTGAAAAAGGGCCTGCTAGCGTGTCAACTGAGCCGTGCGCGGCACGTCATGCTAGCGAGATAGGCAAACTCATACAGTAAGCCTGCTCTGGGATATCGTCAGCTACTTGCAACGGAATGAGGAGCTGTCGCTGAAGGTCAACGAGGTTGTCGGAACTCTGCTGGGTAGGGCCACCACCATCATGGAAAGCTGTCCAACCACCCTGCAGCTCTCCGACATTCGAGGAGCTTAATGGGACGGCAGAGGATGCGCCCCCAGCAGCAATCGAGCAGGAATTCGATTCCACGGCGGTGATGTTGAAGGCATCAATCCTGTGGACGGTCAAGGAGCACAACAATACGGCCATAGGGCGGCAACGAAGACGGTTGAGAAGCATATCAACTCAGCCATGGGGGCGGAGACGCGAGAAATAAAGGCACGCATCGGCATTTCAGTTGGGGCAGCAACAGTGCACATGGGTGCCTTGCTTACTGCAGAAGTTCGATCGGCATCGGCAGAGACGACAAAATCTGCGGTGATAGCCACGTTGAAGGATCAGGTCGCAGAGGCAGCTGCCGCCACGGCCGTTTCCCTTTGTCGCCTTAGGGCTCAGTCTCTTTCCAAACCTAATGACGGGGATGGCAGGTGGGCGCCTCGCTGCCAAGGAACCAGAACATACTCAAGATGTTCCCGCCGTCTGTGATACCACTGCTCCTTGAGATTGTGACAGCGCGGCCCTTGCTTCTCGTCAAGCGAGCTCTCCTTTGTCTCTTGAAAAGGCCTCTCGCAATTCCGCCCCGACTAGAAGTTGTGGCACAAGTGTCACTCCACTGCCCGCAGAAGCTGTGAAGTCTGGTAACGCGCCGGTACAGAAAGCAGGTGGCAGCCTCAAACTGTCCCGATACAGAAGGCAGGCAGTAGCAGAAAGACGCAGCGTCCCACCATCACGGACACCAGGGTGTCTCGCAGTGTGGACGGGGTGTCGAATTTCCGACGAGATGGAATTCCTGTTGTCGAAGATGTGAATGCTCAGCACGTCATTTGAAGAGGCCAACCTGCAGATAGCAGGGCGACCAAGAAACGGGCCCTGCCGCGTGCGTCTCCTGCCGAACCCCAGACGCTGGTAGAGGAGGCCCCTACTCCACACTCTTGAGCGAGGGCGAAGTGCACCTGACGGGCGGCAGGTGACATGGTGCTGGTTGAGGAGAAAAAAGAATGCATGAAGAGTGAGTGGCGTAAGGCAGAGCATGGACAAGCTTCTCGGCAGGAGTCGATAGCAGACCAGCTCAAGAGGAGCGGTCGAGAGTCGGATCTAGGAGCCGTTGTGCTGTTGCTTGTCGACAGATCGTCCTTAGATCTCACAGTATTGGTGCGGGGGATGAAGAGATGGGAGTGGATGAAGGTGGGGTTGACAAGGAAGATGTGATGGTCAAAGGCATGCACAGACGAGAACAAGACACCATCGGTGGCGATGCATCGGATGATGGGGGAGTGGATGGGGATGCCAACGTGGCGGACGCCCTTGCGGAGGAGGTCTACGTGGAAGAGGATTTTGAGGACGAGTTGGCGGAAGAGGAGGAGGCTAAAGAGGAAGGAGGAAGTGGAAGAAGAGGAGAAAGAAGAAGATGAGGTTGCAGCACTTGGCGGGCCAATGGGCGGGACATGGGGGGATGCCGACATCTCAGGCTTTGATCCAGAGGACAAGGATGAGCCGCCTAGGGCTGCTGCCGGTCATTAGCTGCTCGCAGGGGCTTGCCATAACCCATCCAAGTCTACCCCGTCAAGGCCTCAGCAGGGGCACGGCCAGAAGGGTCACATGGTGCGTCTGTGAGGCAAGTCCTGGTCGGCAGAGACATACCTTGGCCACACGAACCAATGCCTAGGGTCAAGCAACAAAAGGATGGCGTCTGGTATGTCGTTCTCATGGCGGATGTCGTGTATGAGGGGCAACCAGATGACACGGTGGAGGTCCCCTTGAGGCAGCAGTCGGCGTGGAAGGCCGACTGGGAGATAACTACGCCGATCCTGACTAGTTTGTGGACGACGATGCATGTGGATGCCCTCATCGGAACCATTTACAGATGGGTAACAACCACGTCGTGTCAATTTGCTCGTTTACCTGTCTCGGTATATTCCAGAACTCACAACATGCTGCATTGATCTATCTTACCTGTGATACATGGAGCTCGTCACTTGTTACAAAGAACTCATGCTGGCAAATTGTGGGACACAGGTTACCATGTCGGCAGTGGTGGGTGTTGGTGCAACCCTATGGCCTGCATTCCGCTTGTCTTCCTTGTTCGTGTGTGTGCATGCATGGCATGGAATGACTTATGAGTCTATGGCATTGCTATCTAGTGCTTTTGTGTGTAGCAAGATACAAGCACTTGCGAGTGGTTCAGAATGGTGTACCACAATGTGGTTTGTGTCGGTCAAGACATTAGCGAGTTTTCACTACTCGCATGTCAAGTCATCGT